GCTCTTCCCTTACCCCCCCGCCGGCGCCTCAGGGGATGGGGGCGGCCCGCGGGGCGGTGCCAGGCTCCTCTGGCGTGTCCGCCCCTTCCCCGCCGGAACCGGCTCCGCCTGCCCCGCCGCCCGCGCGGGATGTGTCCTGCCCGGTGACCGGGCTGCGGCGTAGCCGGGCGTGTCTCCAGTGCCTCCGTCCGGCGCCTTGCCCGAGGGAGCTAAGCACCCCTCCACACGGGCGCCTGGTTCCCCAGAGAGTCCCGCCCACAGTGCTTGGCACCTGTTTGGGCCCGGAGTACCCAGGGGTTTCTTCATGCGGCCTGGATTGGGCTGGTTTATTGTAGCCTCTGCTTAATGCTGCAGCGCAGCACTACATAGGCACGTAGGACAGGGATCTGGAGGAACTTGCCCGAGGGAGCTAAGCACCCCTCCACACGGGCGCCTGGTTCCCCAGAGAGTCCCGCCCACAGTGCTTGGCACCTGTTTGGGCCCGGAGTACCCAGGGGTTTCTTCATGCGGCCTGGATTGGGCTGGTTTATTGTAGCCTCTGCTTAATGCTGCAGCGCAGCACTACATAGGCACGTAGGACAGGGATCTGGAGGAAAAGTCTGGGATCTAATTGAAACTCCATTTGGGAATGTAAGTAGGTGGAATGGGAGGCCTTGCGGAGTACTCTGTCTGCTGGTAGACTAGTGATAGAGATGTAACCGGGTTAGTCTGGTGTAGCTGAAACAAAAAACAGGACTATGTAGCACTTTAAAGACTAACAAGATGGTTAGTCTAACGTGATGAGCTTTCTAGGGCCAGACCCAAGTGGGTCTAATAAACCATCTTGTTAGTCTTTAAAGCGCTATGTAGTCCTGTTTTCTGTCTGCTGGCTGCTTGTGTAACCCACACACCTACTGGGTGTGCTGCACTTAGATGCTTAGAGAGAGAAAGATTGAGTGTGCTCTACTGCCTCAGCTGAAAGCCAGTTGGTCTAAGCTCCAGGGGTCCCCGGTTCAGTTCTGCTGGTGAACCCTACACTTTGTGGCTGATTCTTGCTCATATCTGTGGGGTCATACTAATGGCCGTACGTGGGGGAGAGGGAAAGAATTGTTCCTCAACTCAAATTGGCAATTAACTTGGTAGGGTTTTGCTCCTGCAGCATGAGTGCATGGTGGGGTCACTTGTCACATTTATCTGGGTATATCTCACAATCATTTTCCTGCATTTGTGTCCTTGCTATTCACTGCCTAAGGCACTTAACAGTCTAGTCACCTGTGGGCTGCAATACTTTGGCATAATTTTGGTTGTTGAATTTAGTGTTCAGATGGGTGGTGGTGATCTGTGATGGATAGGCGGTCCACCTAGATTGCGGTCCTCAATCTTTTTCTTTCAGAGCCTTTCCTTCCCCCAATATGCTATACAAACTCCATGGCTCACTTGGGCTACAACAATTGGTTTTCAGGTATAAAACCCAGGGCTGGCATTATGGCAGGGATGGGCAATAATTTTTGGCCAGGGGCCACTTCAGAAACTTTTGAAGTAGCCCTAGGCCACCCAGGAAAGGATGGGGCCTCAGGTAGAAGGAGTGGGGCTAGGACACTTCTGTGCTTTCCCACCCACAGACCCTGCTTGGTCTGGGGATGGGGGATTGTGCAAAGTTCCCCTCCCCCCGGAGAGAATGGCAGTTCCCTCTAGGTACCTGTGCCTGTGGCAGTGAGAGTAGACTTTGCATGCTTCCCCCTGCTGCCCCCAGGTCAGTCAGGGCCTGGGGAGTGGGAGCATGTGAAGTCTCTTGTTCCCTGCTCGCACCCTGCAAGGGAGCAGCAGCTGGCAGTTGACTTTAAGTACTGAGCCCCTTGCATGGCAGGAGGAAACTTCACGTGCTCCCCTTGCCTCTAATCCCTGATTGGCCTGGGGGAGGGGAGAACTGAGTGAAGTCTCCTCCCACTTTGCCCCTGTCCTAAATGCTCCACGCTCCTTGCAGAAGTGCCGCACCCCTTGCAGGGTGAGAGGAGACTGCCCACTTCTCCCCCTCCTGCAGGCCCTGATTGGCTTGTGGGTTGGGGGAGTAGCAGGCCACCGCTGGCCAGATCGACTTACTTGGTGGGCTGGATCCGGCTCACAGAGGCCCTTTTGTCTCCCTCCTCCCCCCCGCAGTAGGGGGTAGCAAGCAGGGCAGCTGCTGAAGCTGAGTTGCTTGGGCTTAGGCTTCGGCCCCAGCATGGTGGCAGGACTCAAGGCCCCAGGCTGCAGCCACATGTGGTGAGACTTTGGCTTTCTGACCTGAGCTCCAGTGAGTCTAATGCTAGCTGTGCTTGGAGGACCACCTGAAACCTGCTTGTGCCCCCACTCCGGAAGCCTCAGAATCCTGGTTGAGAACCACTGATCTGAATATGGTGTTCCCTTCTGACCTTGAACTGTACAACTCTAATAGCCTGAATTGGGCTTTTGTGAAAAGTACTATCACAAGTGGCTGAGATTTTTGTTTAAAACCTAATCTGAAACACTGTTGTCAGCAGTACACTCTCCTGTAACACTATAGTGATAGAAATGTAGCCGTGTTAGTCTGGTGTAGCTGAAGCAAAATACAGGACTATGTAGCACTTTAAAGACTAACAAGATGGTTAGTCTAACGTGATGAGCTTTCGAGGGCCAGACCCACTTCCTCAGATCAAATAGTGGAAGAAAATAGTCACAACCATATATACCAAAGAATACAATTAAGAAAAAAAAAGAACACATGAAAAGGACAAATCAAATTTCAGAACAGAAGGGAGATGCGGGGGGGGGGGGGGGGGGGGAGGGAAGGAAGGTGTCTGTGAATTGCTGTTATTAAAGGTAGGGAGGGGGGGAGGTTTGTGAGTTAATGGTATTACAGGTGATAATTGGGGAAACTGTCTTGATAATGGGTGAGAAAGTTCAAAGACTT